TTCGCGAATACCATTTTCTACAATAGAGCTATTTGTTGGTTTTAGGTACCCGAGCTGGTTTATCCTGGTGCAAAGTTTCTGATCGGGCTTCACGATTAGTTAGTTAACGTATAATCGGTAACCAAGGGGACATTCTCAATGGCAGGATTACTCCACTGGAACATCGGTACCATCATGGCTGCTTACTGAAGTAGCTATCTGACAGACAATGGTCACCGTTTTTCTCAGGCTCTACAAATCTATAAGTCAAAGTAAACTATCGTGAAACAGAATATAAACCAGAACACAGTCAATAGCGAGTGAATTACAGCCCATCTCTTGCTAAGTCGCATCTATAGGAAGTCCCATTTGGCAATGTGTTCCCACTTTTCAGCAAACTTAAGCCAGCCTGTACATAATAGTATATCCTCTGACTGAAACAACTCCCCACTGTGTGTTACACTTTCTGGTACATCCTCCATTAGACTTTCTCCGATGCATGGCTTGGCTATTGACCAACCAACATACAGTGTCTCATTCAGCCAACGCCGTATCGCCGAGTGCTACCCAAACACGACACTCTTCACTGGTTGGATAACCCTGTAAATAACGCATATGTCAGCATTTCGGCAGTACTAACTAGCTTTCTGGATTTGCGGTGAAATTTTAACGGCACTATTTAATGTAGTACACTACTTTCGAGCGTGGTTACCAGAAGGGACCCATGGAATGTTGACCGTATTCTTTTTTGCTGCCGTTGCTAACTGAAATCGGTCGAAACACTCGATCTAATCAGCTTTGGCCGACACCAGTGCCGCCGTTGTCAGCCATGACCCCAGTTTTTGACCAAACGCAATGCATGGCGCTATAACGTAATTTATGAAACAGAAGTGCATCGATTGAACTGCACATTGCAAGGCTCGCATTCGAATCTGGTTGTTGTTGTTATGATTGTCGTTGCTGATGGCATCTATGCGATTCAGGTTGTGAAAGGTAAGCTATAGCATGCGTTGTGATTAACAATTACATGAATTAACTGAAAGTAAGTAGTAGTTGGCTAATCTGCACATTGGCAATATAGATAGAAGCGGGAAATGACCAAAAATGGGCGATTCATCGGACGAACTTCCAGTCTGAACACTTCCACAGATTCCTAGCATATGGAGCAAGTCGTTTGTGCGCATCATACCTTGTAAGTTGCATCAGTGAATCCATGTTACATGGTACCGAAGACCATTCCCAATGCAATCGGTTGACGACCGCTCAGTTTGAGCTGGAAGCCTATACCGGATTGCAGTATGCTCGGGGATTCCATGGGCATGATAACTCAGGGGATATACCACGGAGAACTCGGTTTGTAATGATTTAAATATAAATTAAATCGAACAGAAAAGTAGGGGCTCGGACTCGCTTAAGGAACCGGAATACACTTTCGAATCTTTCACTGCAAACGCTAAAACAGTTTACAAACCTTATTTTTCGTTGGTAATCGATAAAGTGTAATGAATGTGTGACTAACCTTGAAGGAGAAAAATAAACCAATTAGCAACCATCGATCCAAATGAGAAAATGCAATCCTAAATAAGTTTAATTATTAACGGTATTATACTTAACTTCACCCATCTGAACTACAGGA